ACATGTATTCTTTGACACGGGCCGTGCCCTTCCCCCCAGCACCCGCGCAAAAGGGCGTTCGTATGATTTCGACACGCGGCGCAAAAAGGTCAGTGTGGCCGAATTGAATGAAACGCGTGAAACGTTTATTGTTTTTTTTGGGAATTCGCAAGAGCGCAAGCGCACTTTTTGGAGATATGGTGTAGCCAAGCCATGTGTTACATCGTGTGTATATATGTAAATATATAGAAACAGAGAGAGGGAGAGAGAGAGAACAATAAAAAAAACAATCTGCGCATTCTTGACCTTGTCATCCTTACGACACCAATTGTTTTGGATGGCGAACTTCGGCATGCGTGCGCGACGGCGCGCGCGTGTGCAATTCGCCCCGCTTGTTTGTAAAGGGAATCTTGTGACATCACGCGCGCACAGGGCGTTCGAACGAGTTCGACACGCGCGCGCGAGATGCCTATTTGGTAGCATGTTTTGTAGGCGGGTAATTCCTCATTTTCACCATCGCCACCGCCATCATCATCGCCAGCGCCATCGTTGCCGCCGTCATTCTGAACATCAGCATCACCTTCACCATCGTCGTCGTCGTCGGCATCGTATCGCGCTCATTTCCACTTCCGCCATCGGGATTCGCGCCGTCGCCACGTTCACCACTTTCGATGTTGGCGTCGCGCTCGCCGTCATAGCCGCAATAATAAGTTCGCGACCTGGAGGACGGATTCGTCAGCGGAATTGAGTTTCATTCGCCCGCACGTTCGTTGCGATCATGGTGCGCGTAGGAGGATGGAATTCTCGCACGAGTAGTGGAGCTGGCATTTCCAAGTTCTTCTTCATCATGAATCGCACCGCGTGGCAAACACCCAACAGCTTGCACCACATAGATTACACCATACCTTTCGCACCGCATAGTTTCAACCACATAACGTTCACCACATGTTTGACACCGTATGAATTGCACCGCAGCTGCCCGCCTTCATACTTCGCTTTGGGACGCATCGGGAGGTTGCCCCATGTCGACAGGAGTCGCCGTCCATCCGCTTGATTGAATCAGATTTGAACTGTTGCGTAGCAGTTCCCCACGCTTCGCGTATCCCCACCAGCCCGTTCAAAAACGATGCCCAGAGAGCGGGCGTGAAAAGAGACGAAAAGGTAAATACAGTCGGTCCGGATTAGTAGGTCGACCTTGTCATCTCAAGGGTGCCTTTGTGTCCTGTGTCTCGCGAGACGTGCCTTCTTACACTCCAATGGCGATGTGGCCTTTGGAAGGGTCTTGTGTCCTCTCGCGTGTCCTCTCCAATCAAGTCCGACTGTACGGTGAAACAGAGTGGACAACCCGGATGCATAGATAGACGTCTGGTAGCAACAGGAGTGGCTTTGGAGGGCCTCGTCAGGGCAACCTTGAGGCTCGCGGGGGGCCAGAGGCGGAGGAGGAGGAGGAGGAGGAGGAGGAAGAAGAAGAGGAAGAGGAAGAAGAAGGAGGAGGAGGAGGAAGAGGAGGAGGAGGAGGAGGAGGCATCCCGCCTCTTGGGGCTCTCGTGGGATGCTCTTGGGGCGCTCTTGGGGCCCTCTTGGGGCCCTCTTGGGAGCCCTGGAGGGCCTCTTAAGGCCATCCTGGAGCCTATCGATCAAAAGAGGGGTGGGTCCCCGATGTTAGTCCCCCCTTGGGGCCATCAACATCGCGCCTTGGGGCGTTTTTGGGCCGCTCTCGTGAAGGCCCGCGCCCGCCAGACCCCCTGGCCGCTGCAGACAGGCTGCTTCAGCCCTCTCGGCGCGGAGGCGACGATTCACGCCGTGCGCCTGTGGTGCGATTGGAACGCCAGCGACAGCCGCAAGGTGTTGCTCAAGCTGGATTTCGCCAGCGCTTTCAACTCCTTGAAGCGGGAAGCCGTGCTGCGGGCCGTGCGCTCCCGCTTCCCAGAGCTCGAGCGTTGGGCGCGCTGGACCTACGCCGAGCACTCAACCCTGCGCTTCGGCCAACACAGGCTCTCGTCTCAGGCGGGCGTGCAGCAAGTGGACCCTCTGGGGCCGCTCTTCTTCGCCCTGGCCCTGCACGACGTCTTGGAGGAACTGGCTGACCAGCAAGCCTTGGACCTGCGCGCGTTCTACCTTGACGGCTTCCTGGCGGGCCCCGCGGACGCCGCGGCGCATGCGCTGGCTCTGCTACAAGCCCGGTGCCCGGAGCGCGGTTTGGAGTTGAACCGTGGCAAGTGCGAGCTCGTTGCCCCGTTTGGACGTGCCCCCGCAGACTTTGGCGGACTTGTCCCCACCCCTTTGCTAACGGAGGCTGAGACTGGCGTTAGCCGCGTCGCATGGCGGGGCGGGTTCAAGCTGCTGGGCGCGCCCATTGGCGACCAGGCCTCCTGCGAGGCTTTCGCGAAGAAGAGAGCAGACAAGGCCAAACCCACCCTGGCGGCACACGCAGACCTTCATCCGCAGATGGGCCTCCTGCTGCTGCGCTACTGCGGGAGTTTCAGCAAACTCGTGTACAGCGCCCGCGCGACCCCGCCAGCCCTGCGCTCGGAAGCACTCGGCAGCTTCGATTTGCGTAAGCGTCGCGCGCTCGCCGACCTGGCGGCGGACCTGACGGACGCGCAGTGGCACCAGGCGGCCCGCGGACTGGCTTTTGCAGGCTTAGGTTTGCGGCGTTTGGAAGCCCACGCGCCCAGCGCCTACCTGGCGAGCCTGGCTGCGGCCCGAGACCTCTGCGCCGCGCTGGGTCCAGCCTACAGGCGGGCGCCAGAGGGCGCGAGCACGAGGGCCAGACAGGCGCTCCTCGCCTGCAACGCCCGGCTGCCAGGGGCGAGCGGAGCGCGCCCAGAAACCCTCGAGGGCGACGCGCAGGAGGGCCTTTCTGCTGCTCTGGACGACCACGACCACAAGGCCTTCTGCGCTGGCTTGAGCGAGTCAGACCTAGCGGAAATCCAGTCCAAACAACTCCCCGGTGCAAGCGGCTTCCCGGAGGCGCCGCCGAACGAGAACTTCGGGCTGCTCTTCGAACCAGAGGAGTTTGTGACTGAGGTCATGCGCTGGCTCCTAGCGCCCGTCTAGGAGTCCGAGCACTACTGCCCGTGCTGCGACGGCGCGTGCGACAGGCACGGCCGCCGCTCGGGTCTTAGGCGCCGGGGACCAGGTGCTGCGACGCAACGCCGCCCGAAACCTGGTCGGTTGCTTTGCTTCGTCGGCCGGCTTCAGCCCGGAGCTGGAGCGGCCGGGGCTCTTGCCGCCCCGGTCTGGCGACACCCAGGTCAACGGGCGTCGCTCTGCGGGCTTCGCGGGCCATCTTGGTTCCGAGTGACACCTGCTGCTTTCCATCTAGCGGTATCTTCGCCGCGTCGGCAGGCTGCTCTCGGCTGGCCTCGGGCGCGCGGCACAAGCGCGCGAGGCGACCGAGCGTGAGCACTTGGACACCGAGGCCCAGTGCAGGCGGCAGGGGATAATGTTCGTCCACCTGGTGGCGGAGCCGTCGGGCGGATGGGGCCCCTCGGGCGCGGGCGCCCTCCGCCGCTTGGCTCGGTCCAGGTACGGGCGCCTCGGAGAAGAGGCGGTCGCCGGGGCGGCTCGCCTCTTCCAGCAGCTCTCCGCGGCCATTCGCAGGACCACGGCGCGGGCCGTGCTGCGTAGGCACGCAGAGCCCCCCGAATATGGGGGCGCGCTGTCCGCTGCTCTCAGCCTGCTGGCGGCTCCGGGCGACGACGACGCCTAGCCTTCCTCGTCCCCCTCCCCCGTTCTCTCGTCACCCCCCCTCGTCTTCCCAGAGGCTCGGAGTCGCGATGCTCTGCGGCGCGGCGCCCTGTCCGAGGCGCCCTGGCGGGATAGCGCCCCCCGCCAGGGACCCGCGAAACAAAAACCATCCGATGGGCGCCGCGCACGCGCCGGAGGTTCTGCCAGCTGCCCCTCCTGCCCGGCCATATAATTTTTGGTTCGGCGCGTGTTCCCCCCTCCCTTTTCCTCCCTTCTTTCTTTCTTTTCTCCCGCCCCTTGCTTCCCCAGGCGGGCGCGCGCGCGCCTAACGGGGGGGGTCGGCGGTGGTTCAGGTCCCACGGCCGCGCGCCCGCTTCATCCGCCTTCCGGTTCCTCTCCCCCCCTCCCTTTTCCCCCCTCCGGGGTAGCCCCCTAGTCGCCAGGCGCACTAGCCCGCGCTCCGTCTTTCAACCCCCCATTCCCTCTGGCACTCGGCTGGGGCGGCGTGGCCAGACAGGCGGTGCCAGCCAGGCTCCATGGATGTTTTTTTTTCAAGATCTCGGCATGTACATCCAATGTGTCTTCGAACGCATCAATTTCCACTGCGTCCCGAGGTGCTGGGTAAGTTCTGACATCGGACCAGCGTGCCGAGTCGCACGCGACACCCAGACGTTTGTCGATCTCGAGCTCTGCTGCGGCCTTAGTTTTTGGGCGAAAGCCCTTGAGACCTTTCGGCCCCGGCTGCCAAACCTCGGGGAGGGGAGGGGGAAGGTACCTCCCCCCGAAGGGAAGAGGGTTTTTGTTGAGGAAAGCAAGATATCTGTAGACCACCCTAGCCCAGACGGCGGGTGGGACTTTCGAAGCCCCTAGCGAGAACCCCAAGCTCTCAACATCTGAGGATATTGCACATGTGCAAACGCACATGTGGGAATACGAGGCTTCTGGATCAGAGCACGGTTGAGGTTTTTGATAGCAAGTTTAAGAAACGTCCACGACGTCGTCCCGACGTGTCAGGCGATCCGGCGAGGAGGAGCTATCTGAAACGAACAATATATTGGTGGTTGGGATGCGGAGCAGGGGGGCGGAAAAGAACGCCGTCATTGACGTCGTCCTCGCCCTCGTCGCCGACGTTGGCTTGGCATCGCTCGGACGTGTGCATTTTTCCTTCGGCGAGACCATCGAAGAGTTTCCTTGACCATTGGCGAAAAAACTACGCACGAAACCGAAACAAACACAGGGTATGGACGTCCGAGCGAGGGCCAATTGCAGCCCGCGGCCGCCATCGGCCGCCGTGTGCGCCGCCGTCGCCGCCCGCGCCCCGCCCACAGGACCTGGCGGACGCGCTCTGCGCGCCCGGCGCCGCCCTCGCCAGCGCCGCCGAGCCGCCGCGGTGCGCCGCGATCCGCCGCTGGACCGATGCCGGCGGCGGCGCGGCGACGGCGACGACGGACGACGGCGACGGCGACGGCGACGGCGACGGCGACGGCGACGACGACGACGACGACGACGACGACGACGACGACGACGACGACGACGACGACGACGACGGCGGCGACGGCGACGGCGACGACGGCGACGACGGCGACGACGACGTTGACGACGGTGACGACGCCTATGTGTGTGCGTGTGTGTGCGCGTGTGTGCGTGCGATCGCGTGTTCATGTAGTTTTTGGCTCACAAAAACATCGTCCTCTCTCCTTCCTTTTGCTGCTGCTGCTCTTTTTCCTGTTGTTTTCTCTGCGCCCCCCCATTCCCGCAGCGCCCAAGGAATGGCGCACACTCTCGCACACACGTGGGCCTTCCGAGCAGTACACGGGGAACGAGCCAGAAGAACCCTTCCCTCCCCAGAACTGTACGTCGTTGTTTTCTCAACATGTCGACCCTCAGAGGTCTGGACCCCTTCTTGGAACCACCTGTTCACCCCCAGACGTTATTTGACGGTCCCGTGGCGTGGCGAGGGCCCGCGGAGGCCGAAATTTGTCCCAAAACCTCCCGTCATGATTCCTCTCGCCTCGCGGGGTGCACGCGTCCGGACTGCGGAGAGCACGGGCGTGTGGCACGCCCGTGCTCTCAGCAGTCCGATTGCAATTCAGCACCGCGTGCTCACTGAGTTGTTGTTGCTGAGTTCTAACGCCCACTAACTGTCGGTAACGCCGCAGGGCCTTCACGTGGGTTGTGCTGGAGGGTATCTAGGTCAGATCGAGGGGGTACGAGGGTGAAGTTGTAGGTGCGCGGGCCTTGGATTGCGTCGTCGCAGCGTCTTCTTCACACGAGGTGTGGTTTCCGCCGTGCGGGAGATATGGCTCGGCTCCGCAGCCGAAGACGGCCAGTCTGGAACATGAAAGAGTAGTCTTGCGCTCAGTGCCGGGCCCAGTGTTGGGGTTTAAAGTGCGCGCGGTGCTCGGCAGTGTTTTTGCGAGAAGCCGCGTACAGCTCCCAGCGCGACAAAGCAGACTTGCTCTGCCCCCTCCCCCCCCTCCGGGCCGCTTGGGGAGACCCCCCTCCAAATCGACCGGGCTGGGTTCCCAGGGGAGGGGTTTGGGAGGGGGAAGCATCTCACACGCCGATGACACCCAAGAGATCGGCGGATTTTTGCGCGACGGGGATGTCGGGATCCTCCTCTCGGTCGGAAGCCCTTCTCCTCCTCGGTCGATGGCCCCTCTCCTCCTCCTCCTCCTCCTTCTCCTCCTCCTCCTGCTCCTCCTCCTCCTCCTCGTCCTCGTTCTCGTTCTCGTTCTCGTTCTCGTCCTCCTCCCCCTCCTCCTCCTCCTCCTCCTCCTCCTCCTCCTCCTCCTCTTTCTCCTCCTCCTCCTCCTCCTCCTCCTCTTCCTCTTCGCCTCCTCCTCCTCGCCTCCTCCTCCTCCTCCTCCTCCTCCTCCTCCTCCTCCTCCTCGGTGCTCTTTTGCGTGCGCGCGTTGCGATTGCTAGCTTGGCCTGGTGACCAATTTTCGCAGCCGTTGGGCGGCCTCTGCTGAAGAGTGCTGAGACTGAACGCCAGACTACGTCCGTATAAAAGAAGTGCCTGTTTTCCTCCTCTTCCTCCTCCGCCTCCTCCTCCTCGTCCTCCTCCTCCTCCTCCTCTTCGTTCGAGCTTTGAGCTGCGGACCTTTGTAGTTGTCCGAAGACCTGGCCCTCGCCTCCTCCTCCTCCTCCTCCTCCTCCTCCTCCTCCTCCTCCCTCCTGCTCCTGGTCCTCCCGCCGCCTCCACGTCCTCTTCCTCCTCCTCCTCCTCCTCTTCGTCCTCCCTCCATCTTCCTCGTCCTCCCCCTCCTCCTCCTCTGCCGCTGCTCCCCGCCGCGGCGCCACGCCCGGCAGGTTCCAGCTGATGGATTCGGCGGCCTCGGCGAGCGGGGCGGGGGCGGACGCGTCGCAGGTGGCCGCCTCGGCCCGCTCGCGGCCACCTTCGGCCGCCGCCGCCGCCCTCGTCGCCGCTGCCGCCGCCGTCGTCCCTGCGAAGATGACGCCGGGAGACGCGCCTGCCTGCCTGCCCCTGACCGGGCCGGGAGGTTCCCGAGGTCACCGAGCGCGTTCCACCACTCGCAGAGTGCCTGCTCGCAAGCGTCCGAGAAGCAGACGTCGGCTTCGATGCGGTGGAGCGCGCTCGTCCACGAGGGGCCGCGGGCTCCTGGCAGGGGCCGATGGCGGCAAGAGGCGCCCCGAGCACGGCGGCGGTGGCCCAGGGCCGGGAGCCCGCGAGGCGGGAGGCGCACGGGGGGGCCACTGGGCCACGGCGGGCCACGGCGGGCCTCGCCTGGCGGGCGCGGTGCCAGAAGCGCAGCACGGCACGGGGAAGCGCGCGCCGGTCTCCGCAGGAGACGGCGCCACCCGGTGCTGGCCCTGGCGCTGCTCTGGGGAGGGAACACGCACGCACGCGCACGCGCACACGCACACGCGCACGCGCGCACGCGCGCACGCACACGCACACGCACACGCACGCACGCACACGCACGCACGCACGGACACACGCACGCACGCACGCACGCACGCACGCACGCACGCACGCACACACGCACGCACGCACGCACGCACGCGCGCGCGCACACACACACACACATACAAACACACGCACGGACACCATGAATCGTCGATTCCCAGGAATAGATGGGATACGAAGATCAAGAAGAGAAGGGGGAAGACGAATATCAAGAAGAGATAGGGGAAATATGGTAGAATTTTGGGATTTGTGTCTATCTATCTGCGTGGTATCGGTGCCTGTTGGTCTCCCCGTCTTCTGCGCCCAGGCCCGAGAAACCGGCCGCGCCACCAGCAACCAATCGGGAGCGGAAGAATGACGCACACGACGACGTCGTCTACGGTCGTTGTCGTCTACGGTCGTTGTCGTCGTCGTCGTTGTCGTCGTCGAATCCACGTTGGTTTCGAGAGTCTTCAAAGCGCGAATGGTCGCAGCAGGCGGCCGGTCTCGCGGTTCGAAGGGCCGTGTTCACGTACACGGTTGGGCGCGTATGTCTGCACGAGCGAAATGGGTAGGGAAAGAATGGTTCGGGTGCAACTTTTGGGAGGTCAAATTAATTCTGATTTAGCCCTGGTCCGAAATCCCGCTTAATCCGTCTTAGTTCCGCTTAATGCTTAATCCCATTTAATCTGGCTTAATCCCGCTTAATCTGGCTTAATCCCACTTGATCCGAGGCCCACTCTGGCGTAGCCCCCCAATGGAACTTAACCCTCCTTAATCCTTCCGACGAAAACCTCACAGTAGTTGCCTCCTAAGAACGGGTACAATGCCCAACAGCAGTTCTTGTTCATTTTGAACAGGACTCGCTGTCCGCGCCGCCGCGGCCTGTGTCCATTTGAGACAAAAGGCCGCCTGCCCAGCAGCGGCCGCTGTGGGGTTGGGACAACATTTTGGGCATTGTACCCATTTTTTCCGTACCCAATTCGGTCGCCCAAACGTATGTCCTTCGTGTGTTCCCTAACCAAGTCCCTCAGGAAGGACTGCAGTGAAGATGGATGGCGCCCAAGGAGGTGGACCCGGAACACTGCAGCGAACCATTCGCGCGAAGCCCGTCGAGAAGCCCTCGCGCCTTCTGTGAAGCTTTTTGTGTCTTCGGGGAAGGCTTAGAAAACTTCTCAGAAGGCCAGAGGACAGCCGAGCCTTCTGCGAAGGCCTTCTCCTTCTCATTTCCCCCCCTCGCTGGCCGTCGAGAGAAGGGTTCTTCTTCGCCGACATTGGCGCACAAGCTGCCTGTGTAAGGTCGCGCATAAGCGCCCTCGGTTCCAATGTGGCGCCGCGTAAGGTCGGTGTGCCATCTCGCGTAAGGCCCGTTTTGGATCGTCGCTCAAATAGGGAGCGGAGCAGCCGGAAGGCAAACGAGTCGATCCGATACGGACAGCATATTTGCATCAGAGTGCTTTCATTCAGTATGTACCGTTCAACCGATCCTTATCCACATTTCCATCCCGATCCCCACTATTCCACCACCTCGGTTGGGGAGAGGCACCTCGAAACTCGAAGGGGACAGCCTATATCCTCATTTTAGGGAGGCAAGTCGGCCAGTGGGCCCAGGCCACGCCCGTGGGGATGGGGATCGGTTCATCGACAAGGTGTACACGTCACAAACATAAACTTGTGGCGCTCCGCGCGGACTTCTTGGATCCGCGCGGAGCGCCACAAGTTAATGTTCTTCTTCTGGGAAAAGGGTCTCTTCTTCTTCCTCGCCGACGTCGGCGCGCGAGCTGCCCGTGTGGGGGCGCGCGTCAGCGCCCTCGGTTCCCGTGTGGCGCACTGCGCCGGCGGCCCGCGCAAGCCGCCGCTCACTCCCTGAGAAGCCGGTCAAGATTATCGTCACGGCTTTCCCGGCGAAGGCGTTCATGGACAGGCTCTTCTGAGGGCCCCCCGGCCTGTGGCGATCTTCGCCTCCTCGCGTGCGACCGCCACCAGCGGCCCATCCGGCTGTGATGCGGGCAACTCGTGCAGGGAGATCCGTCGTTGCAAACCAACTGCAACGCCGCGGAAAACCGCGCCCGGAGCCCCCGGACCCCATCTTTCTGCGCCACGTCTCGAGCCGGATCGATCCGTGTGGGCTCCGGGATCCCGAAGTCCCAGACCCCCGACGTCATGATTTTTTCATGACGCGACCCCCAGAGGTCCAGACCCATTCCCCGCGACCGGTTTTTCATCCCGAGTCGTTTTTTGACGGTCCCGAGGCCCGGTAAGGGCCCTCCGAGGCCGAAAATTGCGGAGAACTTCCCGTCGTGATTTTTTCATGACTCGAGGGGGTCTGGGTCCGCTGAGGAGGAGGAGGAGGAGGAGGAGGAGGAGGAGGAGGAGGAGGGGACGAGGAGATAGAGGAGGAGGAGGAGGAGGGGAGGAGGAGGAGGAGGAGGAGGAGGAGAGGGGAGGGGAGGAGGAGGAGGAGGAGGAGGAGGAGGAGGAGGAGGAGGAGGAGGAGGAGGGGAGAGGGGAGGGGGAGGAGGAGGAGGGAGGAGGAGAGGGGAGGGGAGGAGGAGGAGGAGGCGCAGACCGCTGTGCCCCCTGCAAGGCACGAGTGCCGAGCAGGGGGTCCGATGTCTAAGAGAGGTCCCACCCTACCCACGCGGCGGCGCGCGCGCCCGCCTCGCAGAGCACAGTCGTGTTGAAAAAGAAGACGATGTGCGGCGAGGGCGGCGGCGGCGGCGGCGGGGGGGGAGGGCCCAAAAAACTAAACGAGATTAGTCAGAGCCCGAGCTGGATCCGTCTCCAGTCTCGGGCAGAGGGACACTGGCCACATCGATTGGCCGATGGGCGGTCCGATCATGGGACAGCCTCTGGACCTCGTCCGAGGTCACAACACGAGTACCTTCGCCTCTCGCGCCCTCAGCCCCAGGACCACAGGACGAGCGAGAGGAGGAAGGGCCCTCGACGGGGCAGGAGGCGGCAGGGGAGGGAGCACGATTATCGTCGCGTCCTTCCTGCGCACGAGGGGCGGGCCTGCCCGCATCCGTGGGGCCAGCGTGGCTATCTCCACGCCTGCCCGGCCGACAAGCCGAGGGGGCGGAGAGCTTCGCGCCAGTCTTCGGATGCAGGCCAGCCTCGATCCTCCGAATGGCCATTCGCTGGTTGGCCTTCGTTGAGGCCACGGCCGAGAAACCAACACATCTGGCGGCTAGCTTCACAAAATTGCCAAGAGTGCCGTTTCCACCGCATTTGCGGCAGCCAAAATAATCACTATTTTTAAACACGTCGTGACCGAGGGCCGAAAATTGAGGGTACCTGTCGGGCCCACTGGGCCCCGAGGGGAGCACAGGAGTCGGCGGGCCCTTCACCCCCATGTCGTCGGGCCCCTCGGTCTGGCTACACAACTCAGCCTCTCTCTGGGAGGCGTCCATTGCCAGCTGCACGGCCTCGGAACGCATCAGGGCAAACCCCTGGTCGGTCGCGTGAGCATTCCACCATTCAGACGCAGCCAGGAGCTGCACGGGGCTGGCTATGCAATCACGCGTGGCCCTCTGTGTGAGCATGGCATTAAGAGAAGTCTGGCTGCGAGCAAATCTGCCACAAACACGGCACCTCCAAATGGCGACCTTCTGGCTGTGCCAGATCTCGTGACTGGTGATCGTCAACTTGGGGGGAAGGGGGAGGCACGAGGAAACGAGAGGCACCTCAGGATCACCAGACCACGCCTGAGACTGCAACAGCCTTTGAGCAGCCCACGCCAAGAACCTAAGAGTGGACTTGTGATATCTATATTCCCCCGCCAAGGCCTTACAGAATCCATCCGCGTAACTGTGGGACGCCGAGCCGAGCTTCGCGAAAAAGTCAGCCCATAGGTTCCCCGCCCAGTGCTCAAGAGAGACGCCTTTTTCTACAGCATCATCGAGCGAAAGGTGGGCGGGGCACCAAACAAATTGGGGGGGATCGTGCTGCTGGTTCCTGAAAATGTCCGCCCAAATCGACGCATGTTTGGCTAGACCAGCAGCCTGCTCTGGGTCCCACGCGTTGCCTTCACGAACGCTGGCCTGCAGGTCGGACACAACTTTTTCCACCTTAGGCGCAAAGTGCAGGGCCTGACGTATTGACCACCGCTCCGCACGTCCGATGGTCTGGCGCACGCCAGGCAAAGCGCCGAAGACGGCACGAACTGGAATTAAATCTTGATTTAATTGGACAGCTGCCCAGCCAGCCCGAGCAACCTCAGGGAGACTTGACTGGAGGCAGCTCCCATCGACGAAACAGGTGGGCCCCCACGGGCCTGAAACGTTCCCCCAGAACTGGACCTGAGGGTGGGCCTCGGGGGGCTCCAAAGCCACAGAGAGCGAGGGGATCCCATAGGTGAGATACGTGGTTTCGGCCTGCGGGTTCCCCAAGATATCTAGACATGAATTAATCAGAGCATTCCTATGGCTCAGAATCTCCTCAGGGACCTGCTCGCCAAGCGCGTCGACTCCGCCCAATACCAAGCCCGCACAGTCGTACCAGATGTGCCCGTAGGAGCCCAGGGGAGCCTGACACACACGACATTCAGGGCTTATGCGGTAACCCTGGGAAGCACGCACACCTGGGAGAGGAATAACATCAGCCATGACAGCCGAGAGAGCACCAAGTTGCCGCGGACATCGAATCGCTTGAAGACCTCCTCTCAACGCTCTGTGCCAGACCTGCTCGGTGCCCTGGGACGTGGGCATGTGATGAAGCAGCCGACGATGTTGCCACCTCTGAATACCTTCTATCATGTATAGCTTGACGTCGTACGGGCAAGTCGTGAGTAAGTTTATCGTGATATTAGTGTCCGAGAGGAACGTGTGGGCGCTGGTCATGGCCCAACCGATACGATGAAGGGAGAGCCAGCAGGCCGACATGGGCCCCTTCGCTATCTGCCACGTCGGGTTGTCGTCGAAGTAATGACGTAGTTGGGCCCAGGCCCTCTGGGCCCTCCCAAGACAAACTCTGCTGTCCCAGATCCAGGCCGCGTAGCGGAGGCATATGGTGAGCGTGCAGTCGAATATGGGATCGTAATAGGGGTCGCGGTGAGCGAGGAGATACGCAGTGACCCCACCATGTTTTTTACCCCCTGCGAGGGTCGAGGCCAACTGTTTGAAATAACGAAGAGAAGCGTCGGAAACTCCAGATACACCGCCACCATGCCCAGCAGCTGGTAGGGCTCCCGTTCTGAACAAAAGCGAAGCCTTGCGCCCGACGGCGCTGCGCAGCGCCATGTATTTGCGACGGCGCTGCTTCAAAGCCTTGAGGCGTGCCTTCTCTTGGAGCCTCAACACTTTGCCACCAGCTAACTCATGCCCCAGGTTGCGCATCCATGGCCGAAACTGAAGTTTGAGCTGCGCCGCTCCGTGCCGAAACAACCTCTTGGACCTTCCCGAGGCCGCCACGATACCAGACTTCTTGGGCTGGGTGTTCAGCCCTAATACCTGGGCGTCGTACCTGAAGATCCGTACAGCCTTCTCAAGCTGCGGCAAGGTGTCAGGCGTCGTGGCGACCAGCTGCAGCGACACGTCATCCACTAACGCACGCGGCGTCACACACGGGGCAATCTGGTTGAGGCGCTTGAGCGCCCGAAAAGTCAGCACGAATAGCATACCTGTGGCATGGCTGCATCCAGCTAGGATGCCTTGGAAAACCTCGAGGGACTCGGAAAGGCTTCCGAATGCCTTCAGACGCCGTGGCTGCCTGTACAATTCCACGAGCATCCACACGAGGCGTGGCGGAAAGCTGACAGCCTCTGCCTCCTTGATGAGTTGGGCAGGGTGAATCATTTCGAAGCACTTGATCATATCCAGCAAAACTGAAATAGAGATTTCGCCGAGCAGGGACGCTAGCTCTGCGGACAGGTTGTGCGCGAAAGCGCTGTCCGTGGAGCTATGCCGCTTCCTGGTGCCCCAGATCTCGAGACAACCATGCAACTCCTGCCAGCTACAAGTCACCGGCTTCCTGAGCTTGCCCCAGACTCGGCAGAGGGTGTTGATTAGGGCTATCAAGCGGACACCCCCATCAGGCTTGGCCAAACGCACCAACTCCGTCCAAACACGATCGTTGGGCCAAGCTAGCTGGGTCTCGCATCCGTTGAACAAAAACGCTATGCCCTCGTAAGCTCCTTGGCTGAGGTGGAGCAGAGCCCTGGGCGCAATCCGCGAAGGGCCTGCCGCCGTGCTGATCTTAAATTGCTGGATGCAATCCTCAACCTCTAAGGCAGTGATGCAAGGGAGCGAGGGCCAGGCGTGGGCCCCATCGGGGAGCGGAAGCTTAGAACAGTCGTGGGTCCTCCAGATGTCAGCCCATGGCTGCATCTCTTGATCAGCGAGCTGGAAGGGTTGGGACTTGGAACCAGCAGCAACGACCTCCTGGACCGCTCGCACCTTGCTGAACCTGCGGGCCTGAGAAGCTCCTCTCTGAAAAGCTTCTCGGGCCCAGGCCAGCCAAGCTGAGCTCGCGGCGGCTTCGGCAGCCCCGATCTTGGCCTTGGCGGTGAGATACACATGCGTAAGACATTCGGCAAAGTCAGCTCTGGCCAGGACGGCAAACCCTGACTGAAAGAACCCAGACGTACGATCGTCGAGCCTAGCAAGCACCTTTTTGCACGCCCCGACTTTGATCATGAAATTGGAAGCCTCGGCCAGCGCACGCAGTAGCTTGACATGCTGGTTGGGAGTAAGCTCGCACATGGCTGCACACTCCTGGAGGCCTGCCACCTCTTTGGTGAGAAACTGCCTACATTTGCCGAGGTGCTTCGCCCAGCACAAAGCTGTGGCCCAAGCCTTGGTGCTGGGGTCTTTGTAGGTGCGAGTCTTGGGGGGGGCCCGCGCAAGCTTCTTCCACTTCGTCCTGGGCGGGCCCGCTCTCCCCAAGAAGCCAGACGAACAAGCACCGATGCGGTCCCACCTAGAGGACAGCTCGAACTCGATCCCCGAGATGACCAGGTCCCAGAGCCCCGCGAGGTCCCCTTGGGCCAAAAGCTTGGGGCCCGCAACACCGAGCACGGCCTTCCAAGGGTAGACAGGGGGCCTCGCGCACCCAATGGGGGGCACCGCAGGGAAAGGCTTGGGCTCATCGGGGACCCTGGCCCACATCGGGGTATCAGACGAGGTGAAGCCTATGGAGACGGGAAGGTGAGGATAAGTAGAGGCCTCCTCATCAACATGAACCTGCTTGTGCAAACGAGTCGCTAGCATGCTGCTAGCAACGAAGAACTCAATAAAAGAGCCAGGCTGTGAGCGCCTGCAGCTGGGCAGGGCAGAAACATATGCGAGGGCACTCACAGCCTCCAGCCAGCCCGACTGGTTGAGCTCGTCGATCTCCATGTTCCAGTCCGCGCAGATGATCCAGGGCACCTGGAGCGCGTTCAGCACGCACACGTACTGCACGAGGGCCCAAACGTACGAGCAATTGGCCGCACCGAAACCCTCGCCGTCCTTGAGGTACGCCGAGATGACCACGAGTCCGCCTGGCATACCCCATCGAACGTGGCAAGCCACTGCGCGTCCTGGAATCAAGATATGGCTGTCAAGCTGCGGCGGAGCCGTAGCCGTGATGTACGACGGAACCAACACTGCCACTCCACCTGAAGTACCAGCACCGCTGTCA